GCCTGGGGTGTCTGGGGGCCTTCCTTTCCCGACTGAGCACTGGTTCTTCATGACCCAGTTCCAGAGCTGGGTGGCCCCAGGTGTGAGGCGCTGCTTGGCACTCAGGTTCAGCACATACCCCCGACGTATTGTGAGAAATGTATCCATCACTTTAAAGCTCCTTCGGTTCAGGCAGGAGTGTGCATGTGGTGGGGAAGAAATGGTTTTCACAATTCAAGTCCACAAGTTGACCATCACAACTTGCAGGCACAGGGGGTCCCCTGCCCGGTGGGTGCCTGGGCTCAGGGGAGGGACCCGGATGAGAGTGCAATGATGGTTGTTATGATGTTGGCAGGGACGGGCTGACCCTGTCACTGTCAGGGTGGGTAGCACCTTGGAACTGGCACTTGGCGAAGCCTGGGTTGGCAGCAAAACCGTTCAGGGCTGAGCCTGTGGGTGGGTCAGGAGACCTCGCTGGGAAAATGTGGTGGGGCCCTGGCTGTGGCTGGTGCCTGGCTGATCTCCATGGATGGGTCCCCTCTGCTCCCCAGGAGTTCTGGGTCAGGCTGCTGTGCTATGTCATGGAGACAGACTACACTGAGGCCCTGACCCCCATCTGCATCAGCCTGACCAACCTGGCGGAGAGACAGCTTCACAGCAAGGACGCGGAGGCCAGCGCGGCCAGCAAGAGCAGGCACGGTGGGCAGCACCCTGCCCCGACTGGCAGGGCTGGGTGGGTGGGCAGCTCCTTGCCTTGGGATGTCACCCCCCATGTCCCCTTCTCCAGAAAGCATCTGGAGTCCAGTCAGCCCAGGAAAACCCGCTGCTCGTGCCTGCCCTTGTCCTGGCTGAGGAGGTGTTGGGGTCATGCAGAGTTCCTCCCAGCATCTCATTTCCATGTCCCCAGTCCCCCCTCACCCTGGAAGAAATGATTGTCAGGCCGTGACCCAGCTGGGCCTCAGCTTTGTCTGGCCTCTCGGAGCCAGTGGGAGGAACTCCAGCCATGCCGTCCATGTTCTCTGTAAAGCTCCCTCACCATGGTCCACTGAGGGGGTGCAGTTAGCAACGGGCTCTCCAGAAAGGGACCAAGCCCGCCTCCCACGTGGGGCCACGTGACCCTGCCCACCTCTGGTTCCCTGGGGCTGCTGTCATGAGCCTGGGGTGGAGCAGGGCTGTGCAAGGCTGGTGACAGAGGTGACTTAGGAGGCCTTGAGACCCAGGGCAGGTTCTGCTCTCTGAGCTGGATCCGAGCAAAGCAGCCAGGTGACCCCTGAGGTCCTTCTTACTCCCTGTCACCAAACTCTGGGTCTGGATCCTCCCCTGGCCTCTGCACCTGTAACCTCAAAGCAGACTGCCCCTCCCTTATGCATTCACCGGAACAATGCAGGCTTGTTTTTGTCTTATAATTGTCAGCTCAGCAAAGGTCAAGGTTCACGGTACATGATGCAACATCGTCATGGCAAGTCCTGGTATCCACTTCAAAACAGGGATGGCCTGAAAACAGCACCTTTGAAACCCCAGCCCATTAGTACAACTCTTCCCTCTCCTCAGGGTATATCCGCTAGGATGCTATTCATAGAAAAATCCCCCGTGTCAACCCACTCTCCGTTCTGGGCAGGCAGTAGGTCATGCTAAGTGGGGAAGCACCTTCCAGGGCAAAGTCCCCCGTAGGGCAGGAGGGTCCATCCTGCTATGGGCCAGGCAGCCTCACTTGGGGGTGCATCTTCCTCCACAGTGGACCTACCTGCGCCTCAGAAGTTGCTGGCCCGACTCCTGGTGAGTGGCCCATCTGCATCATGCCCTGCCTGGCCTGGAGAGGCCATGCCCTGGGGCACCTCTGCCTTGAGCTCCTAACTCCCAGACCCCAGGGGGAGGAGGAAGCCAGGGTACAACCCGGGGGCTGACGTTTGGAATGACGGTGTTCCAGATCCTTGTCATCCCTCTGTGTAGACGCGGCTGGGTCAGTGTGCTTGGATGGCCAGGACCTGGCTTGGGTCACTCCTGTTTCCTCTGCCCAAAGCACCCCAGGACACCACTAATCTCTTGACTCCACCTGGGGGTGGCCTCAGCCAGACTCAAAGACATTCTCTTCATGTTGACTGTGGACACTAATCCATGTTCTGCTGGTGCCTGGGGTTGGGACAGAGTCGAGGTCTGGCCCCTCACGTCCTCGCCTTCCAGGGTGTCCTCTGCAGGGTCACTGTCTGTTCCTAGAGCTCCCTGAGCTGTTGGAAAACCATCCATCTGGTCCAGCCGCTCCCTTTCCAAGTGAAGACAGTGGGCTCTGAGGCGGGGTGGGGCGCCCAGGCCCTCCTCCAGCAGAGGCTCCGAGGCGGGGTGGGGCGCCCAGGCCCTCCTCCAGCAGAGGCTCGGCACCCTTCAGGTGCTGATGTCCTCTCCCTACAAGGGGGAGGGCCGTGGGATAGCCATGCTCAATCTCCTGAGGACGCTGAGCCAGAGCATCGCGCCCTCCATGGCCGACACGTGGGAGCTGGAGATCCCACTGCTGGTCCAGTACCTGGAAGGTGAGGTTCCAGGGAGCACCTGAGCTACCCCTCTCTGTACCTGCTGGGATATGAGTAGCAGGACTTGAACAAAAGGCGCCAAGGCTCGGGGGGCAGGGCGCAGGGCACCCAACCTGTTTAGGCTTTGAGAACAGCTGAGCAGCTTGGGGAGGTGGGGAGGGAAATGCAGCATGTGGGGGCTCCCCTGTGGGAGACTTTGAACATCAGGCCGATGAGACTGACCCCGAGGGAAGCACAGAGGGAAGAGTGCGCGTGACCGTGTGCGTGTCCCTGCAGAACATACCGAGTTCACCTGGAATCAGAAGGCCTGGGAGGACAAGCTAATTCAGGTAAGGGTGGCCTGTCCGCTGAGGCCAGGCTGGGAGGGCTCTTGGTGGTGTTGGCACTGAGGAGTTAGGAGCCCTATATGGAGGCCATGCTGTCCTGTTTGGGAAGACATGGTGAGTACCAAGTCCAGAGCTGTGTCTATCAGCAGGGGAGGACTGAGAGAACTTTTTATCCCGGGAGCCAAGTGCCCAGGGAAAACAGCACAGATGACACCTCTCATGCCACATCCATTCCCCAGGCCCACAGACCTACAGAACACTACCACTGAATGTGGGTATAGATGAACTGAGGTTTAGGGACAGGGGCCAGAGCGGGTGAGTCACTACTTAAGATCACTCGGCATTCCCAGAACCCAGACAGCAACGGGGAGCCCTTGGCCCTGCCTACCAATGTTCTCTGCCTCCCCAGTTTCTCAGAAACTCTCTCAAGAAGACCCGGGGGACCAACTGGAGCCTGCGCCTAAGCAAAGAGCTAAACAATCAACTTGAGAGCTTCGATAGTCCCTCTCTGGAAAAGGTTTGTCCCACAGGGACAGGGCAGTGTGCACAGGGAGCAGGTTCCAGGAGGGATGGAATGGAGAGGGTAGTGCAGTGTGTGAAACCAGCCGGACCTGTGACTGTTTCCAGGATCCTGGGTGGCTTAGACTATTGACTTTTAGGGTTTTGTTTTTACTTTGTTTTGTTTCATTTTTCTGTTTTGCTTATCCTCCAGATTCTGGTTCATGTTCACGTGTATATATTTTTTTGTAAAAGGATTTTTAAAAAATAAAACTACATATGTATGTGTGTATATTATATATATATATAT